AAAAAAAATTAACTAAATAAAAAAGATTCACATATGAGCATAAAAAAACAAGTGCATACACACCTATTGTGGCTCGAGCGATGTCCTGAATTTTCTCTCTAAATCAAATGGAACTAGAAAGCGATTCTCACAAGGAGAAGTAAATAGAGAAACTGTTATGCGTTGTTGTATAATCAGCTCTGAAATTCCTCAGGCTTTCGGATGGAAATGCACCTCAGGTCTGCACTGGATTAGAAGGTCCAGGTTTATACTGTTTGTGGCACGAACAGACTTTTCCATGAAGCCCAGGAAAAGATGCCTCAGCTTGACTGAAGTTGTTGTGCTCCCTCCGGAATCCCTTGGTTAACCTCTGTGCTCGTACCTGCTGTGTCCTGAAGCTGGTCCAGCGTCCGGGCCGGTGGGGTGTTACTGTGAGGAACAGAGTTCCTCAGATGCAACAGAGAATCTACTCGGGGTAGATTAGTGTGCCGGAGTTTGTGTCTCATCATGGATGTGAAGGGGGGGAGGGGATTATGGGTACATTAAAGATTTTAAGGCATAATTACGGACTCTTTGTTTAGCTGTTGAGTGGGACAAAGGCAGAACATTTTTTGTTTTACTTGAGCAATTATGAGTGGGGTTATGTATGTCTTCTGACTCTCAAAGTTCAACCTTTTAACTCATAAACACAGACACACACCTATAGGTTAAACATGTTCATTCTACTGTTAGGCCATAAACCTGACTGACTTGAATAAGTCACACATCTAAAACACTCACATCAATAATTTTAGTTTTATTGTTAACTTTTTTTAACCCCTTGTGATGAACCTTCCCATACTAAAGCTAAATCATACTAAATAACTTTTTGAAATATTATCTGGAAAAAGTATACTTGTTTAAATGTAAATGTTATTTAGTTTTTGTATTTATATTTACTTTTATATCATTAATTATGTAATTGTAAAATTGTTTATTATTTTATACCCTGCTGTTCAAAGGTTTGGGGTCAGTTTGAATACTTTTATTCAACAAGGGTGCATTAAATTAATCAAAAATGACAGTTAAGACATTTATAACATGACAAATTGTATTTTATTTTTCAAATAAATGCTGTTCTTATGAACTTTCTATTCATCAAATAATATATCACAGTTCCCATGAAAATATTAAGCAGCACAGCTTAAGTATTGATTATTATATGAAAAATTACTTGAATTTCAAATCAACCTATTACAATGATTTCTGAAGGATCATGTGATTCTTAAATTTTAATATATAACGATGCGATGCATTGGTTTAAAAAGTGTGCATCGGCTACAAG